CCTCTTGTCCCATCCATGCGCGCTACATGCCCAGCCCATCTCATTCTTCTCGACTTAATCACTTTGACAATACTGGGGGAGGAGTACAGATTTTTAAGCTCGTCATTATGCAGTTTTCTCCACGCCCCATCGTCTTCCCTCTTAGGCCCAAATATCCTCCTCAACACCTGCAATCTGTGTTAATTATTAGCACACTAAATTGTCTCATAGAGAAACAAATTAGTTGTATTCGATTTTGAGCCTTAAAAGAGTCAAGTTTCCCGCTACCAACAGTAGCCAAAACATCTGTTCCAAAAGCACTGTTGTTAAAATTAGCTATAAAATAACCATAAATGTTACTTGAACGGGAAGTACGTAGTGTACTTCATAAACGTGCGTCTTTACAGATTTAAAGAGGGGTTATTAGTAATAAGGTTATTTATAGACAGTGTTAAGTGTAAATATATCAGAAGCTGACTAAGTAAGATTTGGGATTATTTGCGTCATTGGGTGCTAGGACGTATGTTATTTACTTTATAAGTCTATCCAGCCACAACGCCGAGGCGGATGAACTGATTCAGTAATTGGAAGGCAGAAGAAGGGAGTGCCCTGCCAAAATGACGAAGCAACAAGAAGAATAGAAGATTTCGGGTTTCGTAAACTTCCAAACAGAATTAATTAATTTATTTTTAGAAATAAATGATGACAGCTGTTTTCCTAATACAAAATATTTTATTATAAACCTTTCGACCTGATCAATGGCAACACTTCCGTCTATTATAATATGGTAGAAAATATCACAATCAATTTATGATCTTCTTTTGATTTTTAAATTGTATGTTTTTCAGTTGTATCTTTATTCAGTAAACGGTTATAATAATTCTAAGATTGTAACTACTCATGACATTATTTAAATCAAAATTGGCTGAGATACGCCTGGAACTGCTAACAGAAATCCTTCTTCTTTACGCAGTTATTTTAAACCACACACGGTTAAATAGATTCAAGAACTATAATTTGAAAGTGGTCGGTGTCTTTGCACTGAATTTCACACTAGTATGGCAAACATAATTATCGTTCTCAAACAGATTTGCTAGAAATTTAAGGAAATAGGTTCCTTTGAATGTTTAACGCTACAAATTCTGCTACTGGCATTTGTTTAACGTCAGGTCAAGTGTATAAATTTTCATATGTGACGAGTACATAGTAAAGAATTAGGAGAATTCAATTGTGACCTCTTCGAAAGTACAAGCAATTTATTCGCAGGGTTTCAATTTAGGAATGGGGCTGCATATATCGATTGAAGTTTAGTTTGTTTTACCTTATATTGCACATATTAAGTCAGTGACAGTGTCAATTGAATAAAAATTTCCTTGGATATTATCCATCGTCTAGTAAATATAAAACGTAAAACGACGTTTCGGAGATGAGACTCTATCTCCGTCTTCAGGTTCCTACACAGTTGGGCCCACTAGATAGAGCTAATCCCTATCTCCGGACAAAGTAAAAAAGTGAAAGTCCCGGAATAAAAAGACATCACCACACCATCCATCCGTGGGACGTAAAAGAATAGATAGTAGAAATCAAAATTCATTAAACACGATGAGGGATTAGCTCTATCTAGTGGGCCCAACTGTGTAGGAACCTGAAGACGGAGATAAGAGTCCCATCTCCGAAACGTCGTTTTACGGTTTATATTTTATATTTTACTAGACGATGGATAATATCCAAGGAAATTTTTATTCAATTGACTCTTCACCATCGTCAAGAAGTTTTACATCAGTGACAGTGTGTTAAATTGCTTGTCTCATTTGTAGCACATCTTTAAAAATTATTTTTTATTAAACGTGTTATCTAATCTGTTCAGATGACAAAGCGTTGGTAAATAAGACAACAAACTTCTTAAAGTGCATCACCTTTATTCGCTTTTTTTTCTTATTTATAATTTTTTTAAAAAAGCAGGAAACTGAAATAAGTTTCATGGCACGCTCTTTGATTGAATTTGTCAATTTGGCGTTTAGTAAACGCTGCGGTAAATTAGTCTTATTACAGCTTTAGCGCAGAACTATTCATAATATTTACAAACGCCATTATTAAATTATAAAGTTATTTATACCCGCTAAAAGCAGTTGATATTTGTTTTGAAAAGAATGCCTCGAAATTTTCGTGTTGGACATTCTCAATGAGGAACAGTCCATAACAGCTGCAGAGCTGTGGCATCCCCTATAATTTTTAAAAAATTGAAAAAAAATATTTTTTGTGCTTACATGATTTCTAACACTTTATTTCATCTATATCATTATTTTAATATTGCCCCTTACGTTGTCATTATCCACTAATCGGTTGAACTCATAGTAAGTCCAAGGGCGAGAAGTTCGAAGCAGAAGGGGCGATCATGAGGCTGCAAGGATTTCAGCGCGGCTAGAAGGTCAAAAGTAGAGAAGTCTGTGAACTGAGCGTGAACACAGACAAGGCACTGAGTGAGTTAAGTTTTAAAGTTAGTTCAGGATAAACCAACCGT